CGTTACATTGCGTTTTTGTATAATTTAATATTTTATTATTGTGTCTTAATTATCTTATAAATTAACTTGCAGATGTTTTATAAATTTAAATAAAATGATAATACATTTTTTCTGTTTGGTTATTAGTTCGAGTTTAGTTTAACTATTTTTTTTTAAACATTATTCCATTTTTATACTGTATTTTATGTTGGTAACTACTATAATTCTTTTAGGTAAGATGATACCTAATTTGCATTAATTATACTAAACACCCAGCAATTATTAATTGCTAAATACTTAATTTTATATTTTAAATATTATATTGTATGTGTTTTTACTTTTAACTACATTTTTTTTTAAAACTACTGTTATTTTTACATGTAAACTTTAATTTAAGTTCCAAATAAGATTTTAAGATGTCTCAATTACTTCTGATGAAATTATAATGGCAATTAGTATTACATAAAACCAATATTTCATAATACAAGTTTATACCTTGTACACTAATGCTGTTTTAATTTTGTAGTTTTGTGTTTTAATGTAAAATAAAAATACATATTTTTCAAAGAAATATTTTTTCACAAGTGTTTATATAATCAAACCCTTAACCAATTAAGTGAACCAGAATAACCTAATTTTTGTCTTTTTTCTATTTCTACTGAATACACTCTTTCTGGTAGAGTAAATGTGTAAATAAATGTATAGTTGAATAAGTTTTGAAGGTTAATTATAGCCGTTATAGGTTTATAATGTATAGATATTAGTAGGTATCACACTTCCATACATTTTTATCTATACACTGCACCAGTTACCCTACATTACCACACATAATATAAATAACTATTATTTTGTCACTTAAAGATAAGAAAAAGTGCATATGTTTTTAACATTATTGTTATCATTATTTGTTCACGTAATAAAATAATGTCTACTGTAGCTCTAATTATTTTCACAATTTGACGTCTTTACCTGAATTTTTGTTGTTGTATATTAATGGTTAAATTTTGTGGCTTATTTACTTTAAGCGCTTATGCTTATTGTATACATTTTCAACCGTTTGTTTAGGTATGAATACTTAATACTTATACGTAAGTCCATAGACCAGCGTAATCCAAATTCTACCACCAAGCTTTTTTTTTTTATAGACCTTAAAAGATATATATTTATTAAGTGTAACGAGCTTATAAAAAAAAACTTAGGATGTGAGACATGGCACAGCAGCTGTACTGATCTATATATATTCCATGATATAATAACTTGTGTAGGTATCTATTATATTGTTATAATATGTTTAAAAAAATACAATTAAAACTAACTACAAAAGATTTGACTATCCTGCTTAGTGATTAGATGAACGCAATATTGATGCTTTAAGTACAGAATAACCAGAAGGGGCAATTCTTAAGTTTAACATGAGTTCTTATGTGTTGGAGGTAAATTTGCAACATCAGTTGATAAACACTAGTGTACAATAGAGTTTTACCCAATTACCAGCTTTTTTTGTTTTTGTTCTTAGTTGTACAATGTACATTAAATCGAATAAAAAATAACAATTACTTTAAGATGAAAAATGTATTGAACGACTTATGGACATTGTTTAACACTTAACAGGATGTTTTGAGAAAACTAGTAAAAGTTTGAATGCTTTTACTACACCGCACCTCTTGATGGAATAAATTATAATATTGAATAAGTGAATGTCAGCTAGATTATTACTTATTGTAGATGTATACTTATGACGTAACACCTATTTTCTCTGACTTCACGGTTGTAGTTTTCTCGGTTCAAGGCACCAAGTCAAACAACACAGCAGCAGTTATATGCATTATAATTTGCATTCAAAGCAACCATGTTGTAGTGTAGACCCACCAAAGTTAGATATCTTTTTTATGGCTATAGGCACCAATAAGAATTTTTGCCCCAAC